GGTTTCTCTCATTGATGTACTATGGATTAGGAAGTATAAGCCAAATAAAACCCTTTTTTCCTTGAGTCACTTTTGGTTAGTGTTTTATCACAATAACTGTTGCAGTGACAGACATGACCGTGTAGCTTGGGAAGGTTGTGGAAGTGTTGAGAAGTTCGGGCTGGAAAAGCCATATTTCAAAACTTAATGTTCTGTTCTGTGGAAACTAGAGGCCTGCCTTGTGGAATTTCACAGAGAAGCAAAACCTCTGTCAGGGCATTTGTGGAAATCTCTTTGAATTAATAATCTGTGGTTTCTTGTCAGTTGCAGCTGAAAAATCAGCTCTGAACAGGACGATTGTACACTGAAAATGAAACCTTTGCTTTACTGGGACAATTGGTGGTGATTTGGGGTGATAAGCATCTGTGCTTAAGAAGTGACCAGTTACCATTGAGGTGAAATCTGTGGAGTATTTTCCTCAGGGCCAGCACACAGAAGCTGTGGTTCAGTGGAGCCAAGGCTGTTCTCAAGTTGGCACTTGAACTTGGTAATGTTTAAGAGTTCCACATGGTGCTGGTTTTGGCTGTGTGAAAGTTGTGTTTTTGTTTTTTGGTGACATGGTCTCTCTATGTAGCCATGTTTGTCCAGGAACTCATTACACAGACTAGGATGGTTTGGTCCCAAGTGCCGGATCTGAAAGTTGCCTTTTAAAGGGATCATGGAAAGCAGCTGATGCTTGGTATTATGAGAGGCCAGGAAAGGTCATTGATTAAAATGTAGCCTCAGTTGTAGTGGAAACCCTAGGATTGAAGGGATCATGGAGAGAAGCTGAGGCTTGGCACTTTGGTACAAAGTTGAGTTCTTGAAGAGAACCCAGGAGAGGCCATTGGTGAAGGTACAGCCTCAGCTGCAATGGAGACCCCAGCATAGCAGAGATACCAGGACTGGGCATTTTCTTGACTAATGATTGATGTGGAAGGGCATGGTCCACTGTGACAGGTGATCCTGGGTTTTTATCACAAAGCAAACTGAGCAAGCTATGGGAATATGCTAATAAGGAGCCTTTCTCTATGGCCTCTGCTTCCAGTTCCTGGTTCTAGATTGGCTTCCTGTCTTTTCTTTCCTCAGTGAGCGGCTATAAGATTAAACAAGTCCTATCCTTCCTTGAGTTGCTTTTGGACAGTGTTTATCAAAGTGATAGAAAAGAAACTAGAACATTCTGTGTTGTATTTACTTTTTCTTTTGTGGATTTCACTTTTTCTTTTTCTTTTTTTGAGAGAGTTACTCTGTAGCCCTGGCTATTCTGTAATCCTGGAACTGCTATATAAACCAGGCTGGCCTTGAATTCAGGGACTAAAGGTGTGTACTACCAAGCTAGGCTAAATCTTTTTATTGTTAGTTTTGTTTATCTATGATAGTGTTTTAATTCATTGTTTGTTTTGGTCCTTTGCTGTTACAAAGACTTATTTTTGGCTCTCCTTTATGGGCACAACAAAGTAAGTTGGATATGATTTGTGAGTGGGCATTTTAAAGTGATGGTCTGTATTGTATGAGAGGTATGAATAAAATGGTGTACAGGCTTTGCTTTTCTTTGAGACTGTGTAGCTTGTTTGGCCTAGAACTCATTTTGTAGACCACACTGGCCTCAAAGTAATGCTTTCTTATCTATATCTTTTGGATTTATTTTCTGTCCTTTAGTCTTTGGCTGTGATAGTTTAGCTGCTGGGCAGGGAAGGTTACTCGATACCCTTCATTGAGTACTCCTTTTCTGTCTGGCTACCTGAGTCTTTTTAGTGTTTTTTTTTTTTGTTTGTTTTGTTTTGTCTTTGAGATAGGGTTACATACCTTAATTACCATTTCCTTTTTAGTTTTCCTTTATTTTTTTTTATGTGTTGGACATTATGCCCTCTGCTCCACATACATACAATGCCTGCAGAGACCAGAAGAGGGCATTGGATCTGGTGAAACTGGAATTATAGACATTTGTGACCCACCTGTGGACGCTGGACTGAACCCAGGTCCTCTAGAAGAGCAACCAGTGTATTTAACCAGTAAGCCATTGCTCCAGCCCCAATTCCCATTTTCTGGCAATTAATTTTAAAATTTGTTTTTCTGTGTTTATTTATTACGTATGCAGTGTTCTGTTTGCATGTGTACCTGCAGGCCAGAAGGCACCAGATCTTATTATAGATGGCTGTGAGCCAACATGTGTTGCTAGAAATTGAACTCAGGACCTCTGGAAGACCAGCCAGTGTTCTTAACTACTGAGCCATCTCTCCAGCCCCTGTTTACTATTCTGAGATGAGGCCAAGATCTTCATTGTCTTCCTGTTACTAAGAAAAATGCCCAAGTTGAAGGCTTCTCACTCCATTAGCATTATAGGAAGAAGCTAAGTCTGGAGTGGTGGTTTATGCCTGTAATCCTTATATTTTGGAATATCCTGATCATCCTGGAACCCTGTCAATGTAAAAAAAAAAAATGTGTAGGGTTGTGGCTCAGCAGTTAGAGGGCTTTTCAAGTGTGCATGAAGTCCTGGATTTGATCCCAAGTATTGGAAGTGAAAAAAAAGGGAGATAGGAGATAAACAGGCAGGCTTGTTTATCAGGAAAAAACATCCAAGTATTTTGTTGTTTTTCATTTTTTTGTATAGATCTAATTGTCTTGCTGTATAGACCAGCAACTCAGAGATTCTCCTGCCTTTGCCTCCCAAGATGTGGGAGTAAAGGTGTATGCTACCATTGCCCTTGAATAATTTTTGTTGTTCATTTTAAAATTGGGGGAGGGTGTCTTACTTTGTAGTTCTAGCTCACTTTGGAATCACTCTGGCCTCAACTCTTGATGCTGGGGTTAAAGGCATTGTATTTGTTTATCCTCATACACATTATAATATGGGCTGAGGGTTGGGGCTGGAGAGATGTGTAGGAAGAGTACAGAGATGGCTCAGTGGTTAAGAGGACTTGTTGGTTTTCTAGAGGACCCGGAATGGGGGGGTCTGAGTGTTGTGACATATGCCTTTAATCCTAGCATTTGGGTGTCACGCAGGTGAGTTTCTGAGTTTGAGGCCAACCTGTTCTACATTGTGAGTTTTAGGCCATCTAGAGCCACATAGTGAGACCTTGTCTCCTTAAAAAATTCTTAAAAGTAATGGTAATATGGAATTTTATAGCTGGCAGAGACCTTTGGAGTAAAAGCACTTTTATTTCATCAATGTGACATATTCCTACGAAAATAGTATTTATTTAATTAATTAATTAGACACAGGATCACAGTGGAATAGGATTTTGGAATGATATAGTTAGTTGATTCTGTGTTGGATTTATCATAAGGTTTTAGTAAGTTGTTATAATCATCTGGAGGCTTACATGGGACTAGAGGATCTGCTGTCAAATTAAGTGCTTGCAGGAGGCCTTAGTTGTTTGTCATATACACCTTTCAATAGGCAGCTTAGGTGTCATTAATTAATATCATGGTTGTAGTGTCTTTATGACATATTCTTAGATGTCCCATCCTTTAATTTCTACCACATTCTGTTCACTGGAAGCAAGTTCCTTCTACACTCAAGGAAGAAAGTTTCAGTTTTCTTTTCAAATGAAAGTGTGTCAGTGGTTTTTGTGGGTCATATTCCTGATTTTATCATACCTATAAAACTGGAGGTTTCTCTTTCTGCTCACCGTTCCCAAATAACCACTCTAAGGTTTAACATGAATTATAATTGTTTGGTCAATGGCTCAGGCTTATTGCTAACTAGTTCTCACATTTAAATTAACCCATTTCTATTAATGTATATATTGCTTTGTGGTCATGGCTTACCGGTAATGCTCTAGCATCTTCTATGGCAGCTACATGGTGTCTCCCAAACTCTGCCTTCTTTTTTTTTTTTTTTTTTTTTTTTTTTTTTTGGTTTTTCGAGACAGAGTTTCTCTGTATAGCTTTGGAGCCTATCCTGGCACTCGCTCTGGAGACCAGGCTGGCCTCGAACTCACAGAGATCCACCTGCTTCTGCCTCCCGAGTGCTGGGATTAAAGGCATGCGCCACCAACGCCCGGCCAAACTCTGCCTTCTTTATCTCTGTAACTCTGTTTGGATTTCCTGTCTAGCTATATTCTGCCTGTCTATTGACCAAAACAGCTTTATTTATCAACCAATAAAAGCAACACATATTTGCAGTTTACAGAAGGACATCCCACATCATAGTTTTCTATGTGTTCATACAGGGTTGCTGGTGAGATGTTTGGACTAAGGTAGAGATATTTTGCTAATACTTCAAGGCATAAGTCATGAGGAATAGCTGATTAACTGTCATCAGTCTTTGTATACTAATATAATTTGGAGCTTATCCTGGAGCTCACTTTGTAGACCAGGCTAGCCTCGAAGTCAGAGATCCACCTGCCTCTGTCTCCTGAGTCCTGGGATTAAAGGTGTACGACACCACTGCTGGGCCTCAAGAACTGGGTACTTCTCATTTAGTTACTGAATAACAAGATTATTAATTACCTGAAGAATGCCAGTTATTGTACTATTAATTGAACTGGTTTAAAAGAACTAGATTCTATGTAATACGACACGTCCTATTCTTTTGTTTCTGTGTCGTCG